GAAAGGGAAAAAACACTTGAAAAAAACAGTGAGTTAAATTTCAGTTCATCAAATATCGAGTGAAGATTACACTGAAAGATAAAGAATATTAAAAAAAGTTTGCTGTCTGCTCATAAACTTTACGTCACAATTTGATCCTGCTATAAGCTTGATAATTCCACTGCTACCTTAGTACAAATTCTAGAAAAAAATAATGTTTCTAGAAGAAGCGACTTTATTGAGAAAACTTGACGATTTAGGTATAGGGACATGATATATCATCTTGAAGCATTTTTTACCATCTTTCAATTTACCGAGTAATATACAGGGGATTTCATTTGAAAAAATAAACTTTTGACTACTTTTATGCACAATTGAAATAATAGTAATTTTAATTTTAGCACGCCCTGTATAATATGGAGTCGATTTCTTAGGGTTATTTGAATATTTCGAGTTTGTCCAAACTATCATCAAAATATCAACTTTTCATGAATTGAGAGTACTGATGTACTTAATTTCAATTAAGGCTAAGAAAAAAAAATTTTCAATGATCAATTTTAATTTTAAACCCAAGTAAATTGTTGATAACGAATTAAAAAATAACAGTTTTGTTATTTTTCCAACGAGAATCTATTCTGAGACCATTCAGAAATTGCTCAAAAAAAATCTCAGATTTGTTTTTAACAATTATCGCCCCCGCAATCTTCCTGTTTAAGTAGACAAAAATTGTTAATTAACTAATGCATAAATAACTGGAAAAAATCGATAGAAATTTTTTGATTTTTTTAATCAGTTGAAATGATATTTTTTCATTAATGGTCGGACGGCAGCCGGTCGGTTCGACGTGGGTGCTTTGTTCACTCACTCAAATCGACCGCCGTGTTGGTCGCTGATGTAAGCCCCAGGCTGAACCATCGATTTTCACTTGCTATCGTCCAATTCGTGTTAGGAATCACACGTTAAAAGGTACGACCTCGTTAGTCCTTAGCTCGCACAAGTTTCGACTTCTGAGGGTTGTCGTTCGTAGGGGTGCGACAGCTGGTTTTTAACGGAAAAACAGATTTTAAACAGATTTTTTTTTAACAAAATGGACGTGTCTTGCGCAAACCAGAGAAGCCGTCTTAGGACGTACAGTTCCGGAAGGTTATTTTGGAAATGTTCCTCCTCTTTTGGAATCTTTTTTCAAATTTAAAAAATGTCAAATACTTTTTGATATATTTGTGAAAAATCAAACCCCATTTTTTGTCAGTTAATTGTTTATAACTTTTTTTATTTGAATAAATGAACTACAAGATATTATGCATCTTGGCCAATCCTGGCACACTTGACAAAAACGAAAGGATTATACATTATCCAGTATTTTCCTCAGTGATATATAATTCACGTTCATATTTTGAATCCAATCGCAAATAAATTAGTATCCTGGTCAAAAAATAGTCGACTTCGGGAAAATAATAGTTAGACACCAGATTTTTTTTCTAAAATAAGTTACAGCTCATATCTTTTCATTTCTAGACGAATGTCGAAAATGATTGTAGTTGTAGTTCATTGATGTAGACTTGGGGTCTGAGTTTTTGGCATTTTTAAAATCGTTAGAGTTCAAAATGAAAAAATTGAATGGGGAAATTTACTATTCTTTACAAAACATAACTCCATCATCTGAAAAGGAAATTTGAATTTTCTATTCAAGAAATATGTTTCTATGGTAGGGTCCTGAAAATTAACAATTATTTTTCTGCAAAAGTCACCAAAAATACTTTCTGCGTCTGGTTTTTTTAAGTACTTCAAAAACAAATAAAATAAGTACTTACTGAAATGACAAAGGTATTGATATATTTTCCATGCAGTTGTTACTCCTAGCCTACTTTCGATTCAACTGTGAAAGTAATTGTAACTATCGAATATATTATCAAATAACTATTTCTCACTCTCGTCAACATAAACGTGTTCAGATATCAATAATGTAAGCACTTATTTTTAACTTACATACGTCATTTTTAGTTATGATCCCGACTATCAGTCGTTTCTATACTGTAGTATTATTTGAAAAAAATAAAAATATTTACATGTGAAAGTTATCATCACTCGTTCCGAATTGCAACTCAACTATTTTCAATATCCGTCCAAAAACCGAAGGATTCATAATATTACAATGAAATCACAAAATTCATTTTCACTTTATTGTAGGAAAGTAGTCAGATATCCGCTTTGAAATACATCATTATTTTATCTGAGTCACAATAATATTATTATTCTGGATTCCTAAATAAATAGTATACGTAATAGAGGAAAAATAATTTTCCAAAAAACTGTATATTATCAGATTTCTTGGAATGTTTACAAAAATCATGGAGGAAGCGATAAATTAACATATTCCTGAATAATTGGAATGCCATTTCTTAAGCGAACATCAATACAGTTGATTTCATTTACATTACAATTTTTTTCTGGAATTTCTAATTTCTGATTCGGTTAAGAATGCATATCTCACAATTTTATTAGAGTCTATCTGTTCCATTATCTGAAATAGAGTTTTTTTTTCAATCAAACTGTTGTTGAATAAGAGCTTTTCTGATATATTAATATTATGAATTGAATTTTATCATCGATTCCGAAAGCTGAATTTCATTAGTTCGGACTTCCATTGTCTGATGTTATATAAAATGATTTGAAATCCCTGAAAGAACTAAAAAAGCAGAATTAAAAAAATCAATGAACAAGAATAAAAGTGAACAGCTGAAAAAAACAATTATAATAAGCAAAAAAAAACCTGACATGAAATAATAGTGAAATAAAATACAAGTAAAAATGGAACAAATTGGACAAAAATATAAAAAAAAATTGAGAAGTTAAGAGATTCCAGGCCAAGTTACTTCACGACGTTTCGATTGTTAGTATCCACAATCGTCTTCGGGTGTTAGCTGTTAGATCAGAGGATGTGAAGTCTATAATTAAATAACTACTCATTGAACAACATTATCCGTTTAGAGAACAGCTGAAGAAGGTTCATTTTACCTCCCTTTAACATCGAATCAATAGCGAGAGCTCTCTCTCTAACTCATGACTTAGTTTAGTAACTGAGAAGTCAGCTCAAGCAGATCAGCAAACACTCATACTAAAATGATGAGTCGGAAACACCTGAGGTGAAAAACCCTTGCACAACTGATTCTAATGTATCGACAAAAATAGCTGCTGTTCACTCTCATATAGAAATGTTGCAATGGTTATTAGAGAATGTTGCACCGTGAATACCCGATTAAGTCATTATCGGCCAATCAACTGGAACCTCTTCAGGAGGCTATCTTGGTAGCCATAGAGGTTATACCAGATGATGAGAACACTTATTGACTTATTTGAAACCGATGGATTGTTAGACATTCTAAAATACCTATTGAGTTATGTTCTTAATGGATATCATATCTTATTAATCTCCATTATTTTTTAAATATTCTTTCTCTTCCAAAATGATGTTGCGTTTCAATTCATTCAACAATTGAAATATTTGGTTTCTCTTCGATTTTTTATTTTACATTCTGAATGTTTAATAAAACTCAATTTATTATGCCACTTACACGATCACTAATATTTCGTCATCACCACTTGTTGTGGAATTTCACAAATTTTCAATAGTTCCTTCTGTTCCCTATCATTGAATTGATGTTTCATCATGTTGAATCCTTTATCTTAACACTTGAATTGATCTCAAATCTTATGATGAAAGATGAGAATCGATCTACATCTGAAATATTATTTTATAATAATTACAAGTCGGTTTTCTTCCATTATGTTTTTTACCATCTTTACGACTCCAACTGACCTCCCTGTAAATTTATTTCAGGAGCAAGTCTACAGAGGAGATGGATGTCGAGTTTACGACAACAACTAACCTCCCTGTAAATTTAGTTGGGGAGCGAGTCTACAGAGGGGATGGATGTCGACTTTACGACTCGAACGGACCTCCCTGTGAATTTAGTTCAGGAGCGAGCCTACAGAGGCGAAAAAGCCCTTCACAGCTGAATCTAAGGCATGATCAGGTGTAGCTGACGTGCAAAAACCCTCATATGGAAAGGTTGTCGTGGGTATCAAGGTGGGAATTTTGCAACTTGACTATCCGACTACCTCATCAACAGAGCATATACTTTGTGCCTGCCCCGCTGGGGTCCGAATCAGGTTTTTAGAGTAAGGCAGAGCCGTACTCTTACCATCTGACCTGAAAGACCACTTACCATACAAACTAATCGGCTTCGTTAAGAATCTGGGTTTATTTGGCCGCGTGTGAATAGGTGTGAGCCACAATAAACCCTTGCGGGTTGCGGTGGAGGGTCGAATAGATCCACTTACTTTGGGACTAACCTAACCTAACCCCTATGAACGACAATCCTCAGAAGCCGAAACTTGTGCGAGCTAAGAACTAACAAGGTCTTACCTTTTAACGTGTGATCCCTAACGTGTGATATGATGTCATTTTGCACATGCTCCTCTACATTCAATTGTAGTTTGATTCATTTTCATTGCAGTCTAAACTGAAGGTGAGGTCATCTCTATTTTATGTGGATATTAAAAAGTTTTTGATTTCAAATTGAAGGGGCTATATTTCCAGGAGGAATCAATTTTTGAGAAAGAAATGTTTTGGCTTCCTATTTCTTTATCTTTATGGTCTTCTTCGTGTATTTCGAGGGGACATTTTCTTCTAGTATTCATGTAATAGTGATGAGACACTTTTTCCATAAAAATGCTTTTTTGAATCAGTATACAGCAGCATACGTTTTCCTTGTCCTTCATTTATGATGCGAAATTGTGAAAAATGTGTAATGAAAACCACATCGGAAACACGATAATCAAAGAGTAGATGGGAAGGCAAAATATCTAACACAAAATCATGATGCATAAAGTTGTATTTAAAATGCAATCAATAAATCTGCATGATAATTGTCGAAATAATGACTATTATTTTAAACTGATGAGCATCGAAAAGTGTAGGTTAAAGAAGATTGAATAGACATTTGATGGTATAAAAAGAATTGTTCAACATCATGTTTCAGTTTATTGAAAATTCGAAAATGAGATCGTTCATTGCATTCGCTTTGCTAATTGTAGCAACACAAGCTGTAAGTAGATTGATCTGTTAGTTTTTATATGTAAAAGTTTGATGACTAGGCTAATGGCTTCTGCATCACAATAATGCATCTTCTCACTCGTTATCACTTGTTTGTAATTTGTTTTGACAAAAATAACACCATAATCATGCCTCAGCCACCGTATTCACCAAATTTGGTTTTGCGACGATTGAGGAGATGAAACCTCTGAGAGTTCTCAAGGACATACCAAAAAGTGCATATCAAATTATACCATGATTATCATGAAAAGGATGCGACTGAATTTCAAGCAGAAATTTACGCCACTGAATTGTGTGCGGGGAGATTGGAAGAATCCAACCTCATACACAGGTCAATAAAAATATTCTCAGGCAGTTATGCGGCGTTGGAAGCTCTTGGCTCCTACCGAGCAAGGTCTAAATTGGTAGCAAATTTCCAAAAACAACTCTCCTCGATCGGAAGATTTAACAGATTGTCTCTGGTCTGGATTCCTGGCCATACTGTCCAAATAAGAAAGATATAGCAAAAAGGATTCCAAAATTTTTCTAAATTTCGATTTTTTTCGTATATCTCCGCAACCAAAAGAGCTACAGAGATGTTTAGGTATCGTCCAGGAGTACTACTCGAAAATATGTAACTCTGTCACAATTACCGTTTACGAAATTCCCATGAGTTCACTCGAACTCGAATAGCCCTGTATATGTACCTAGTTTCAGTTAGGATTTATGACACATGTGATAAATCCTAATCAGAAAATAGTTTGGCAATATCAGTCATTATTTCGAAGTGCATAGTACCTTCACAAAATTCAAATATAAACATTCATATAACAAAAATTATTTTGGGAAAGAAAGTTTTTGGCTTTCTACTACTCCATCTGATACAAAAAAATGGATGAGAGAATCTTCATTCATGGCTGGGATTAAATCAAATAGGTGAATGAATGTCATTACGATGTCATCGATGACATAAGCAGATCAAGCTTATTCCGTGACATTCAAAATCGTAATTCATGAATGAAGTGTGTGTATTTTCTATAATGTTATCCAATTTGGTACTGAAGAGCCTTAGGGCAAGTGTCTTAAGGCGAAACACGTGTATACCATTTAGGGTGACAGTGTTCCATGTGAGTACAATTTATTACCATTCATTCAAAGTAGAACTCATGTGAATGATATCTGATTCTTATTCCATAACGAATGTTTGAATACAAACTGAGTAGAGAAAAGTATCTTCTGTATAATTCAGTGTTCATATAGAAGTATTTGTTTCGAAAGAATTTTTTCTTTCGTGTAATTCAATGTTTATATGAAAGTAGCTGTTTCAGGAGGACTTTCTTTCAGTTTGTGTCTGAAAGTTACTTCTTTGCATGATCTACACATCCATGTATAGAGTTACTTATTTTCAAATTGATTAATCCTTCCTTTCTTTGGAAGATTCTCTCATCCATTTTTTTGTATCAGATGGAGTAGTAGAAAGCCAAAAACTTTCTTTCCCAAAAAATTAATCACTCCTAAAAATATAACCCTTTCAAATCAAACAAAAATTACTATAAATATTTAACGACTTCGTTAAGATAATAAGAATGAATTATTTATATTTGAAATAATTACCGACTACTACTCAACATTAATATTACATATACAATAGTGGGGCGGAACCTCTTATTTTCACCTAAAACTATACTTATACGCACAGAGAATGAAATCAATTCATTATTTCAATTATACTACAATTTCAAAATCATATAAATATATAAAAAGTTCAGTTTGCTGAATATATTAATTCAACATGAAAATAAGACCAAATGAAAAAATATAATGAAAAATGAGAAATGAAAATATCTACGTTTTTACCACTTTTATTTGTAACATTTTCAACCTTATACAATAAACTTAAAATGAATGATGATCTCCTATCTACTACGTAGTAACGGCTACATCCGCCAATTTACTGAAAAAAATTAATATATTCATAATGAAATAAATGATATGGAAAATCGTAGCTACACATCAACACTATATCAATAAAAAATAAGGTCAAGTTTGACATAGTAAAATAACGCCATGAAAAAATCTTACGTTCCAATATACAATTAATTACAATTTAGATAATATAAACAAATTTAAAAATATCGTATTCATATTGATTAATACATACACTATCTGTCCAATATAAGGAGGGTCAGCAATAACAAATCTAAACCTTGAGAGATATAAAAAAGTTACTCATTTGAGAGCTTATTATGTTTCCAATTTTGGAATATTCAAATTAGTGCCGGGGATATCAAAAAAGAACCCAAATTCGCCAGTTTTATTTGATTTTCTTTCTGGCGGTATTTAAGAGGATATGATGAATCAAATGCAAGCTTTACAAAATTTTCAATCCTGCGTTTCGTTTCCGAAAAACCATTTTCAATAAAAAAAACTTATATGAACCGAAAATAAGCTTTACCTGTTAGTCTTTTTCATGACACACTGACGTATCACACATAATTCGAATTTATTTAATTTCATAGTCGAAATGGTCATCTTTCACATGAATTAACCGACTTTTTATCTCTTACAGATTCTGATTTTGCTATACCGACCTTCCTTATTTCGGAAATATTGTATAAGTGAAAAAATCAAACTTAACACTAGAACCACCATAGGACATACCCACACTAGACGTGAATTGAAGTCATGTTTATTATTTGATTTTATTGAAAATCTCGAAACCAAAAATGAAATCATTTTGAAATCAGGAAATAATTTTAAATTCCTACGAATAATAACAATTACCAGAACTGTGCTACTCTTTCTGAGCAGATAGTTGTTGGTTCACTGATGGATCAAAAACACCTTCCGGTTCTGGTGCAGGTGTTTTCAGTCGCAGACCCAGGACAGAGATATCGACCTTCCCAGAAACCTATGCGACTGTATTTCAAGCGGAAATTTTTGCTATTGAATTGTGTGCGGAGAGATTGGAAGAATTCAACCTCTTACACAGGTCAATAAAAATATTCCCCGACAGTCAAACGGCGCGGCGTTGGAATCTCTTGGCTCCTACCGAGCTTTCGTCTTAATTGGTAGTAAATTGCCAAAAACGACTCTCATCAATAGAAAGGCTCAACAGATTGTCTCTGGTCTGGATTCCTGGCCTGGAAGGCAATGAGGCTGCTGACTGCCTTGCAAAGGAGGGTGCTGCAAGCAGCTTCATCGGACCAGAACCTGTCATTGGCATTGCTTTAGGCTTTGCCAAACAAAGATTGAACACCTGGATGACAAGAAGATTTATGGACTTCTGGCAGAATCTTTCAGGATTGGCACACTCCAAGGCGTTTATTCGCCCTTCGAAGCTTGATACCAAACAGTTGTTGGTCTACAGTAGAGATTTAAGAGTTCGGCACTGCCACACTCTTCTCATCTGACCTGAAAGACCACTCACCATAAAAAGTAATCGGCTTCGTTAAGAAGCTGGGTTTATTTGGTCGAGTGTGAATAGGTGTGAGCCACAATAAACCCTTGCGGGTTGCGGTGGAGGTTCGAATAGACCCACTCACTTTGGACCTAACCTAACCTAACTCTTTCTGGTGCGTTTTTACCAACCAAGTTGGTATCCAATAGTTCATCTACCTTTCGAACCATTTTGTTTGGTTATCAATACAGTGACATGTTACTTCATGAATGTTAATAACACTATCGATGATAATAATTATAGAATTTCTACACCATAAACTTCATTCAGGATTCATCATCAGTTCGCTGATGAAACTACCGTGTCGTGAATCACCCTTAATCACAAACATACAATCTGTCGATGAATTGGACCATACTTGCCAAATGTAGAATTCGGTATTTCGGAAACTCATTCATTTATATCTATGAAAAGTACTTCTTTGTGAAGAAGGAAATCCTCAATTTAACATAGATATGAATATTAGGATAAAGTAATCATAACCACAAAACATAACATTCTCAATCATATTTGGTGAAACATGTGATATGAGTCTCATTCCAGAAATTGGATCCTGAGCTTGTCCAGGAATTAATGGAAAAACTGACCGAAGCTGCTGCGAAATGCGGGGAAAAAATAAAACCGAGTAGTGGTAAGTATTTTCAACCAGAGTTGCTTGAAAATGGTGAGTGATCGATAATAAAAATATTCTGAAAAATATAAGAAAGCAGCCTATGAGAAAAAAACATACCTATCTTCCTCTTTCCCGGAACAGGAACATATTTGTTTTTTTTTACATTTATTTCCAATATACTTTTACAGTTAGAATGAAAAAAAAAACAAAAAATAATATTTGAAATAATTGCTGATATTTCTCTTCATTCATTTCCTTCATTTCCACAATATGAGAAGGAAAATCAGTTATCACCCGATGTGGATACTAACAATCGAAACGTGGTGACATAACTTGGTTTGAAATCTTTTAATTTTTATTTTTCATTTTTTGTTAATAATATTATTTGATTTTTATTTTTCAGCTTTTATTACTATTTCAATTTTTATTTGTTTGGTTGTTGCTTGTATGTTATCTATTTGTGATTTAATTTTTTCGTTTCATAAAATTGTTATTATCAGTTAATTTTTTTAATTTATTTCAGGGTTTTCTAATCGATTTATATTATATCAGACAATGGAAGTCCGAACTGAAATACAAAGAAAATCATGATGATTTCCAATGATCGATTTCATATTCACAATACTAAACTATAAACGAAAAATAAAATGAACAAAAAAGAAAAACTAATTCTAATTACCTACTTCAAGTACATGTCAGCAATTCTAATAATGTTATGAAGGTTAGTGAAGAATAAATCACCATGGGCACAAATGCTACTGAAATTTGTGCACATAACATATATTGGGGAATTGAGCATAATGTTAGTTCTTGCTCTGAGAGGTCTAAAAATGGATTGAAATCGTTAAGCTGGCCGTAGTACATTGAAGTTAATTTGTTCAAGAATTCACTAACTTGAATAAAAATATGAGCAACGCACATTTTCTGCGATGCTCTAAACTAAAAAGTTCCAAACGTTCATATATGACATCATTACTGATACCTCTCTCATGGTAAGAACCATCTATTCTGAAAATTAGAAATTTACAAAACTTTCTTTGAACTCTTTCAATGGCTTTGTTATGAATCTCATAGAATGGACTCCAGACGATACTTGCATATTCTATCTTCGAACGTACGTAGGTCAAGTATAACAGCTTCATGGCTTTAATATTATGAAAGTTTCTGCAATTTGTAACAATGAAACCATAAGCATGTCAACCAAATGTTAATTTATGATCGAATATTACCCCTAGGTCTTTGATCTCATTACATCTCAGCAGATCTGAATCCTGTATTACATAAGGGAATGTATAAACATCTTTTTTTCGACTATAATTCACTACTTTACATTTCACCACATTGAGTTTCGATTTATTATTGCTACACCAAGCAACAAAAAATTCTAATTGAAATTGAAGATTTACACAATCACCTACTTCCTTAATTATTGAAAATAATTTCAAGTCATCCGCGAAGCATGACCGCTCACAAGCTGAACTTTCACATAAGTCATTAATAAACAATAAAAGCAAAAGGGGGCCTAGGTTGGAGCGCTGAGGCACACCAGAAGAAGCTATATATGTTCTAGATTCATAACCGTTATAGGACACGAATTGTTTTCTACATGTCAGATAGGGTTGCATCAGCTGAAAGGCAGTATTTGAAAAACCAAAACTCATCAGTTTATTGAGCAAGACACCATGATCAATTTTATCAAATGCTTTAGAGAAATCCGGGTATATAACATCAACTTGGCCATTGTTATCTAATGCTTCGGAAATAAATTGAGTAATGATGACTAGATTTGTAACAGTAGAACGATTAGTAACAAATCCATGTTGATGTTGAGATAGTTGCCGTTGGACAGAAGCATATATGCGATTATATAAAATAATCTTAAACATTTTAGAAAACATATATAAAATAGATATGGGTCTGTAATTCTCTATATATGATTTTTCACCACTTTTGTATACAGGACATACTTTAGCTAATTTCCAAATATCTGGGAATGTTCCAGATATCAGACATGAGTTAAAAATTGTCGTTAAAATCGTTTTAAAGTTGACTATTGCTTTTTATATTCATTTGGGAAGTTTGTTTCATATAAAGATTTTGGTCACATATAGAGAAATTTGTTTACCTGTTTTCGGATATTGCCTATACTCTTGAAGATATTAGGAAAATGTCATTAGTATAATATTTATAGCACATATAGGTATTCCACGTATATTTACTTAATTTTTTTAGTAAACAACTCAATTAGTAACTATTCTTCACTTCAGAATTTTCTCTTCTCCTCACTTTCCCCACTCTCGTCTCACTATTCGCTTCAGTGCAACGTAGACTTCTTTTCAAAAACTGATGAAAACGATGTAGCTTCTGCTCTGACCAAACTAACCTTTTGCATTTGATTAGTTCGGACTTCCATTTCATAAAATGATTTTAAATGATTTGAAATTTGAATTTGAGTGCTTTCACCTATCCCCTCTTCCCTCTCACCGCTTCATCGCTTTTAGCAGGGGCACCCCGTTTGGCGTGAGTTGGCCGTATTCGTTTGATTATAGGTTTCCATATGTTGCGTATCTCTACGCTAGCTTGGCTGATTGCGATGTTGGACAACATATATGCGGCTTCTTTGAATTTTCACCTAAACCAGTATTCCTACTTGTGGGTGATTTCAGTTTGAGACCACTTGATGTTATGTTGATGAGTCCAAACATGCTCTACAGTTCCTGATTTTCTGGTTTCTCCTCGCTGTGTGTGTTTCTTGCGCTGGGCAATGCGAACTTACAATGGTCTCCTAGTTTCCTGATGTAGGATTCTCCGCATTCGCAGGGTATCCGGTAAATGCAATTCTTGGAATCGCAGTCCGCTCTTGGTGGCCTAGTTTTCGTGAGGCTGCTACGGATAATGTTCCCAGCTCTAAAGTAGGTTCTGATATAATGTTATCATGATATTAGACAATGGAAGTCTGAACTAATGAAATACCACCCTCAAACAACCTAACATTTTAATGGAGTTTCGCCTTCAATTGTAAAATTCATTGATGTTATGATTTTGAGTTAACTCCATGAAATTTTTCAGGAATTCAATAACAACTCTCAATTCCATTTTCATATCCGATAAAAATGGGGTTGAAATTATTAAATACGCTAAAAAAATTACTTACTATATTCCCGCAGTTTATTGTGAAAACAATTATTTGTGTAGTATTGATTGATACCAAAATCTGATAAATTGTTCTTGACCCATGTTTGTATTACTTTTCTGAGTGCAAGCTTTCATTCAAACGAGAACTTTCACTGATCAGGCGCAAATGTCAACTGTTTTGCAGAAGAAAAGGACGCTTCATAAAAGTATGTATTTTGTCGCGTATTTTATTCATGACGAATGTATGTGCCTTAATGATATTGCTTCAGTTCCAGTTTTTTTTTCCAGCTCCTTATTCAAATACATTGTGGTGAATATCTCTCTGATTTTGACAAACATTTTTGTAGCATTCACTATAAGAAATATATCAATCGAGTTATCCCATACGTACGGAAAATAGTTAACTAGAACAGTTTCTATGAACAAATGCATTAAGTCGCTATGGAAAGGCATCTCAGTCCTTAGGTTGAAACTTTCTATACAAAAGTTTTCGATGAGAAAGCACTCAGCACCGCTTCATCGAAACCTACCTGTTGCTTCAGCTATGTTACTGACACTTTGGTAACTTGGAGCTTCGGGGAAGAAGCATTAAATCAGTTTTCACGTCACAGTTAACCATGGAAAATGAAGGAAAACGAAGGAAATATATCATTTCTGGATGTACTTACTGGCCAAAGTCAAAGTCGATAATGACCTGAGTCAGTCGATAATGACCTGAGTCAGTCAATAAAACTTAAAGCAGGAGTACCACAGGGAACAGTTTTGGGTCCCATATTATTTCTTGTTTACAAATAGTACATGTTTCATCAGCAATTTTAGGGGTCATCTCATATTCACAGATAGTAGTTGGACGGAGGTATTTGAAAAATCAGTTAAGAAAATGGGAGATATCCAGATATGCTCGATCACAACCTTCCAAGTATAAAGTAAAACAAAAATTAAATTTATTACATTCACCCTATTACGGAACGGTCAACCAGTAAAAACCATAATCCACATCCATGACGGAGGTTGTACTAATACAACAAACTGCAATTGTGCAGTAATAGGAAGAACAAAAATAATTGAGTATCTGGGAGTTAAAGTTGATCAGCATATAACATAGGATGACCTCATAAACTATATGTTTTAAAACAGCTCAAACTTTCAACTAAAAAATTCTATGAGTTGAGGAATGTCCTGAAATACATAAACTTGATCACCTTATGCGAGTCCCTAGCAGAATCTGTAATATTGTATGGCAATTCTCTTAATATCCTCCAAATATATCGAAACGCAATCTTGAAAATGTCATTCAAAATACCTAAAATGTACTCTACCGAATGTCTGTATAAGGAAACACTATTACTGAAAACAATAAAACTCTATATCCACCAATATTCAACTTTGTCATTCAACTGATATGAATACGTCATGTAAAAGGGTCTATTTTTTCAGAGGACATCTCTAAACTCTTGAGCCACAAAGTTCCAGACACAACTGAAGGAAGGTGCATGTTATTATGCGTGAACCAGGAACTTGGATTCGTAAGTATGAATATTTTCGTCAAGTATAAGTACAAAAACATTATTTATAACGATATTTTAGTAACGAAGTGTGTTCTGTGGAATTTACTACAAATAATGAAATATTCACTGCACACGTAAACGAAGTAATCTTGACAAGTGAAGAAATCAGCTAATAAATTATAAACTTAACATCATTCCTTGCTATTCATAAGTTTTTAATTCATTCACAGGATTGCTCAAAATATGAAAAACGTAAAATTTCACATACATAAAACACTGGCATCTTCAATGGCGGACATCCGATGTTTCGGAATAAGAAACTTGCCTTATTGCGTCTTCAGAACCAATCTGGAAAACATTGTAGGATGAAGCACTCAATTCATTCATAAAATAACGATATCATAAGTCACGAATGAACTAAATCTACTCGCATGTCATCGATGACAGTTTGTAAAGATATTCATTATCATATTTAATTTAATCCCAGTCATATTTTTACGAGAAAATAATTTTTGGGAAAGAAAGGTTTCACCTCGTTCATATATAATATTGTGTAGCAATCATGTGAATGATATCTGATTCGATTCCATAACGAGTGTTTGAAGTGCAAACTTAATAGGAAAAAGTGCTTTCTGTATGATTCAATGTTGATAACAAAGTAGTTGTTTCGAAATTATTTTTCTTTCGTGTAATTCAATAGTTATATGAAAGAAAATGTTTCGAGAGGGATTTTTCTTCCAGTTTGTACCTACATATCTTTGTCAAGAATTCATTTTGAAATCAATTGCTTTTTTTTCTTCTGAAGATTACTACAATCTTTGCTATAAGTAATATATGTTACCCAAGAAAACACTAGACAACAATTGAATTTTGTGAAACAAAATTTAATATTCCAGCAAAAAATATTATTGTAGTAGACCGTTATAGAATAAAAACGTGTTGCTTCATTCAATAAACAATAGGTATGCATGTAAAGTTATGAATTATTTCCCGAACATAGTCAAGATCTCTACTTAAGTCACGTACTTTTTTTCTGTCGTCGCGTCGTTTAAAAGTCGAGGAATCAATTGATTACTCATTTTATTTGTAGTGTTTTCAATAAAAAAATCCACCTCTGATTGTTTTCTTTCTTATTTGCTTTTTTATCTTTTGACTTCCTTCTCGCTTCTTATCTTTTCTCTGATACTCGAAAAAAAATTGCTTTCTCCTCTTCAACTACAATGTATAATTTTCCGTCAACAAATCTCAACTCCATTTACATCCACTGATTTTATATTTTCAGGAGCCATCTAAAGTGATGTTGTGCAAGCGAATTCAATTTTCGTTTACTGAATTGAGGTGTTTTCTGGCGTGTATTCAAAAACGATTCGTAGTTACGTCACCAATAATAAGATTCGCCAAAAGAAATGATTTACTTTGTGTCAGATGTCAAATTCAATAATAAAAACAAACTTTTCAATTCTCTCTAACTCAATTATATTCGGATTTGTGCAAGTAATAATTTTCCAGCTTTATTTTGTACATCCTTACAACGTATTTTATGGAAATTTTTCAGGACTTCTCTCTCTCTCTCTCTCTTCTTTATTGGCCGATGCTTCCTGTTCAGGCGCAATTGGGGCAGCTCAATACGGGGGGTTGTCCTTGTCTGGGATAGCACTCAGTAACAACCCTTATATTTTAATTCTGACTCATGCTGTCGACTTCTTAGTGTTTGTTCGTCTACTTCTTCTCGTGCTATGAGAATGTTAGGGATTGACAAAGATACACAAACAAAATGTTCTGGGATATATGATGGAGTTTAAGTATAGGAATTTAGTTTATTAAAGGTTTATAGTTTGATTTTATTGTAATCTAAAAATTGGATAAGAATCTTTGTGATTTGTATATTCAGATTACGAAAAACTTGAAATATGTTAAAGGGGGAATTAATACCATGTTTAATAAGTTCAAAATAAATATATCTATTAGGGATAACATTGATAGGGCATTCCAGGAAAATATGGTTTACGTTTTCTACTAGACCGCATTCACAGTATGGGTGATCAACTATTCCTAACTTGTACTGATGTTCTTTAGTATGACAATGACCGGTTTTCATCCGTATTATGGTGGTGATGTGTCTCCTATCTATGTACGGTAGGGAGAATATTGCTATTTTACTGGGGTATTTTTCATGGACTTTGTTATAGGATTTACCTGTTTTTATAATGTCATTTTCCCATAGCGACTTAAAGTTTTTTATGATATTATTTTTTAAAATCGAGTATATTGTGTTGTTGTCTATTTTGATTTTTAATGGGATGTTCAAGTTGGTTCCTATTTTTGCTAAACAATCTGCTCTCTCATTCCCTATGATGTCTGAATGTCCAGGTATCCATGCAAATTTGAAAATGATATTGTTTAAAGAAGCGTGATATGCCATATTCCTGATCGAAAGACTAATGTGGTCGATTTTGGAAGTGACCTTTTTCAGCAAGATTTTTTCTAATGCACTTTTGGAGTCCGTAAGTATTAAGTTTTTTTTTAATTTTTTCTTAAACATGTCATCATACCTTCGTAGATAGCTATTAATTCTGCGTCACATATGTTTAATATGTCGTTGACCCTGGCTGAAAAGGAATAATCTGGTATAAAGATCCCTATACCCGTTTTTCCTTCCTTTTTGGATGCATCTGTATATACAAACTTATATTGATTTTTAAATTCTTCAGTAGCTAATTCAAATATCATATTATTATTAATATTTGTTTTTTCTATATTTAAATTACTGTCATTTCATGTGTGTAGGTCTGAAAGTTAAAGCTAAAACAAGGAGGAATCTCATTAGTATATACCCAAGTTTTATAAGGTTGTAGATTTTCTAATACTGTTACCAAATATGGTTTTTCCCTATTTTTCCAGCAACCTAATTTCTCATCGCAGATTGCTTTAAGGGTAGTGATAAGCTGGATTATTGGTGAGTGGCATGCCAGTCTGTATGTCAGAAATTTGGAGGCTAACAAGAGTTGACGACATTCTAATTTTATTTCCCCAGTTTCCCCTAGTAATGCGTTTATGGGTGTGGATTTCATTGTACCTGTTATTAACCTTAGCCCTTGATTGTGAATTTTGTTTAGAGTGTTTAAGTTTCTTCTAGTGGTGTTTTCAGCACTATATAAACTATAACGATCAAAATAAAACAGAAACTGACAACTGACGTACCCGTGGATTGGGCTACCTACCGGGCGCGTCCCCAGGTGGCGGATAGGGAATAAACGGCCAGGGTACTGGGGACCCTGTCCGGGAAGCCAATATGTGACCTTACGAACGGGATCGCCGAACTTATGGTCAGTGGTAGACATAAGTAAGGTGGGGGGAAGTAAAAATCCCCAAAAGCCTTTGCGAAACATACCACCGTGGACCAGCCTACCCAAGTTGAGTTGTAAAGAATCGTGCCGACAGCTGAATGGTCGCAGGGTGATATGTGGTTACGAACGATCCCCTTGGGGAACCGGGCGAAACCTCATTGTAATCAGCCTTCCTCTGGTACCGCTAGGAATGAGGCTGGACATAGCAGATCACCTCGTGATGTAATACAAAGGCGGCGCATTTGCGGCGCCGAGGCCAAAAGGAGAAAGAGAACGAAAGAGGCAGGAGTGGCAGCAACTATAAATGCACCCTTCTCCTCCCCCTCTCCACCTCCAACAGCAAGGGCACTTCATGCGGCAGGCGCCAAGATCTCCGCCTTGAATAACGGCAAGGAATCGGTTACCCCTGCAGGAAAGCGCCCTCATTTGAACATCTCCACTAGAGGAACCCTGAAAGGTTGAAGAAGTCGCGCACAACAGTAATGTCGCTGCACCTTCCCGAACCTTCGCGGAGGCCGCCATGAGATACCTCAAGGTTGCCAAAGAGGGTGTGTGTTCGGCGAGTTTTGGCCTACACCTGCCGATTAAAGATGTTTCCTAGTGACCTGTCCACCTTCCTGGAAAGGACAGGATGGACGATGACCTAGAAGGTCATCCTCGTGAGGATGTACAATAGGTCACATGTGACCTAAGTGTTGTGGGTATACAGTATATACTCACCCTCCCTACTCTACAGATATCTAAAGATATACTGAACCAGAATGGTTCCCTACTATATACATACATACATCTGACGTAACGTAAAGTCAAATTTCGTTTCAAAATCAACCTCAACTAGGTTTTGAATTATCATGTATACGTTTCAAATTATAGTTGATGTGACGTCATGTATTTGAATCACAGACAAATATGTTTTGAAAACATGAGCGCCAGAAAACGCCTCTTATTTCTTTCTTTTTAGTGTTAACCATTACGTTGTATGCAACTACATGGAGGACATTCTTTATGTAACTAAATAATATCGATGGTTTTCTATTATTCGTTCAAATATTGTATTTGATGATTTGAATTTTCCCACTTTTTTTCGTTTTGCAGGAAAAAGAGGACGGTTCCATCGATTTCGAAAATGGCAAGATAATCATGGACAAAGTCAAGGACAGTGATCCCGAAATTTTCAATAAGTTATTCGAAGTGTACAAGAAATGTTCTCAAACCGGTAATTATACAAAATCATTAGAAATTGTTATAAAGGTTCAATTTTTCGAGGAATAATCGAAAAAAATCAATACTCATCATTCATAACTATTTTGAAACAAATGAATTGAAAATAATAGTTACAATTGTTGACGAGAATCTAAGCAAACGTTTTTTCTTTCATTCTCAAAACTAAGCAATCTAGATATTTTTATCCTGTAAATTTGAGAAGTATATCAAGTTCATCACGTAGGCATTTCAATTTTATACAGATTGAAACCTGTACAGGGTATTTTTCAATAACATGCCATTGTCTGAGGAAGTTATTTTTGAGTACATTTAAAAAACTTCCATATAAACATTATGTCCTTGAAATCCTAACTTTCAAACTACAGGTTTTGAATGATATCTGATTCAATTCCATAACGAATGTTTGGAATACAAACTGAGTAGATAAAAGTGTTTTTGTGTTATAATTCAGTGCTCATATAAAGTATATGTTTCGAAATAATTTTTCTTTCGTGAAAGTAATTGTTTCAGAAGGGCTTTTTCTGCTTGAAAATTACTTCTTTGCATGATCTACACATTCATGTATACCGGGTGTCAACGAATCTATTAGACAAGTAATAATTTCTAGACTATTAGGAGAATTGAAATGAGATTTGGTATAGTTGAATGGTATGTGGAGAGGAATGTTTTCACATATTTTTCACTTTACGGTCACTTCCGGTTTCAGCGGAAATTTGTCAAAAAATCCTTTTTTCGGAAAGTGCTTGTCAAAAAATGGTCGCCATTTGAAAAATAATAGTTAGACACGAAAATGTTATTTTGTAAACTTGTCTCATTCATATTCAACACACTAGTCACTAAAACTCCGCTATTGCAATTTTCTGATATCACCTGAGGTCCATAGATTAGTTTACGTCCGATCATGGCCACCTAGATGCAATTTTAAAAGTGACTCTGAAAAAATCAAGTAGGCTGAAAAACTTCCGGAAATGTTAGTTTCTGATCCAGAATTGTCTCAGAAATCCAAAAATGTTACAATATATAGGGTGTTCCATTTAAAAATTCAGAACCGGAGCCATTTCCGCTGAAACCGGAAGTGACCGGAAAGTGAAAAATATGTGAAAACTCTCCTCTCCACATACCATTTATCTGTACCAAATCTCGTTTTGATACACCTAATAGTCTAGAAGTTATGACTTGTCTAATAGATTCGTTGACACCCGGTAGAGTTACTTATTTTGAAATTGATTTATTTTTTTGGAAGATTCCTATATTTTTGTATCAAGATGGACTAGTAGAAAGATTTCCCAAAAAATTATTATAACCCTTTCAATTTAAAAAGGTAATGATTTCAAGATAATTTTTTTTTTTTAATAATTCACATCTCTGAGGAATTGAATAACCACATAAATTCATTTTTACTTGAAACCTTAGCGCCCTCTAGGTCAAAGTTAAGATCTTCGGAATATATGTTAATATTATTTTTTTCTTTTAAAATAGACCCATAAATGACCTTTAAAAATGTTTGGTATATTTTGAAAGAGAGTTCAAAAGAGCAGTCAGAAAATATACTTCAATATTGCGAAATGAAAGAAAAATATAAGCACCAATCACATCATTTTTTTTAAATCATGTACCTATCTATGAAGAAATATCATTTGATACTAGGTATCATGTACCTATCTATGAAGAAATATCATTTGATACTATGTATTTCTCTTTTCCAGATTACATCGTAAAAGACGATCCCTGTGAAACAAGTGCAAATTTAGCTACTTGTGGAATAAAAGGAGCAGAAGAGGTTAGTATGAAATCATATCGAAATCAATTCCAAGCGTTGAAACTGAAAAAAACGTGTTTTGGTATTCTATTCAACACCCTCTGCTTTAGGGTAATCACCACCATATAACAACCACGTATTTTTGGTGTTTTCGCCTTCAGGAAGTGCCTGCGTGGCTCATCGGTGTCCAACCACTGTCCCCTCTTGTCTTAGAGGATCCACTTTTCATCACACGTGACGATCCGATTCAAAAAAGGATCGCAAAGAAAAATCTACCTCAAAAGGTGACAATTTTTGGCGATTGTTCAAATCGATGGTCACCCACTTTTCGAGCTTTTTGATTTTTCCAGTACGTTTTAAACCATCAAAAACCGCATGGGAGCTGACGACGCTCAGTTCTTCCGTCATCCCACGCACCGTTTGTGATAGGTCAGTCTCCACCAGGGCCCTCGAATGATGTCCTGGATTACTGTAGGTTGTCCAATTGGGGACTCATCTTCTAGGCTAAAGTCTCCGGAACAAATTTTTGCAAACCATTGTCAAACAGTGCGTTCATTGACACTACAACTGTCATATGCCTGGTTAATTTTTCGGGCTGTTTCGGCAGCGCTCTGGTTCAATTTTTAATTCGTAGAGAAAAATTGGGCAAAAATTGCCTAACGACATCGTATAGTAAGCTGAAAATGGCAAAAAAGTATAATTTGGAAAAAAATTAACAGCATCAATGTATAGAGTTCAAAATTCTCAATCGATCAGTATCACGACACAGTAGAATAAATATTTGTTGAGATATGGAGCTACAAAAACACATAATATTAAAACGGACACATATTTTATTCATTCTATATCCAATTATTTATTACCACCTTTTTTTAGGAGGGAATATCCTTTGATTTGGGGAGTATGTGATTCCAATGGGCCGATCAACTCAACTGTAAGAAATAATAGAAATTGTATTGAAATTAGTAATAAATAATTCAAAGAATACATGAGGTATTATTCCCTTCTCAATGAAATATATTCATGAACATATATTGATTCAGTAGAATCCATCAACGTCCATTTGGAAGCGATTTGAAGAAAGCCCCCACTCGACAGGTAGTACTTTGTTGTTGACTGGGTAGAGTTGAGTAAAGCATGGCATATTTCCAATATTCATCCAAGTTAAATCTGAACATTGAATATACAAATGGCTGTTCATTGCAAAAATAACTGGCAAATAGCCAAAGTGAAAGTATTGAATAATCAATGATGCATTCGAAGCAGTTGAGCAGTTAGGTGAGGGCCATTGCAAAAATTGATGAAATACATTATAATTACAGCAAGTGACCATCGACAGTACAAAACTCAACTGGAGTTAAAGGTGTGGAAGTTGGCTCAAAAAAGTTGGGAAAGTTTCGTAAACCAAATAAAGCTCTTTTATACCAGGAAATGGTGGCAGTCGACGTTATACAGCATGCTCTTTGGAAGTTCAATAAATTACCTTGAGATAACAAAGATTAATAATAATGATGATCTTTTAGACGGTATTTTCCACAGTGAGAAACTCTGTGAAATAATATTTATGAAATTTATGTTTTTCAAAAGTATTGGAGGTTGTGATGCCGAAAATTGTATCACGATAAAAATTATTGAATTTGGGAAAATTTTCTAACTTTTTATATTCATGATTAACTCATATTCGAATGCGTTAACAGAAATTTTCCTTCCAATTCAATCTAGCTCATTATATTGATGATAGCGTTTCTTCAGACCTCCACATGTGTGACGAATTTTTCTGTATTATCTAATTCCTTCTTTCATTGGTTTACCTGTTGAAGTTGCTTTAATAGTTTGTGTTTCCATCATTGGTAAATCGAATAAAAGGGTGGAAATCAACCTAGTAAGTAATTCATCTGTAGAGTAACCCGCACTGTAACTAAGAAGGTCTTGTATATAACTTTGACGTAGTTACAGAACGAAACAGTTTGTACTTCAGATTCAATTTGACCAAGGCCTACCGGCCCGGATTTTGTTCTCAATAAATGTGACTCTTGCCGTGAAAGTCATTGTTCTTATATTGGGGGTCTGAATTAGATTCAACGAAATGAAAATGCTGTTATTGAATTTATCAATCAACTGGAATATTGCTTTCCTCCTCTTCGTGAAATTTCGTCAATATTGAAAAAAATATTTTCAACTATGATGTACTTGTGCCCAACTCGTTTAATCATTATTGACCCCAATAATCACAAGTGAAATGTGTTTATTTCTTCCCACTGATATTTTTAACTACTATATTAATTTTTTCATCACTATTTGCTGAGGCGCTATCATCCTGTCAAGCAGTGCAAAATAGGCACCGAGCACCAAGCCACAGCATAGACCAAGCGTAATTCTCATTGACAGATTTTTATGTTGGAACATATCAACTGGCACTCGCAGGAGAGTTGCACTGGTTTCACCAATGGGAAACGCTATAATTCGGTTGTTTCCGTAGATCAGGTATTTTTAACAAACGAACAGACCGTTTTCTACATATTGCATGTGTATTTTGTAACCAGATTGTTGAAAATTTTAGGAAATTATTCACTTATGAAAATATTTACAGATATTTCATATTATTATAGCGACCTAATAAGTAATTTAAGATGGGAAAATCCAAGAAAGTACCGAAAGGAAAGGCTATCGAGAGGTAATACAATGTTTCACTCAAAAATCTATGGTTCCTTTTATATTACTGTTTCAGTGAGTCGGAAAATGAAATTGATACCCAAGAGCTAATTGATAAAGCTAGTAATAAAAAGTCAAAAACATCAAAGTAAGTATTTCAGTAAGTTTGAAAGTAAGGTTATGTATCTACATATAAAAATTATCTTTGAAGTGGATTCATGCACCCATTCCTAAGATGCAAGGCACATGCATTCATGCACCACCATAGATATTACCTTATCTATTCTTACTAGATATTATTTTAGTAAAAGTTGTGTTTCTAGTGGTAACATTAATTTTTAGGCTTCAAACGTATGACTTCAAAACTGGTCCATGAATACTCCTTGAGCTACAACAGATGTAATAGCAGTAGTTTTATTAGCATTCTACAAAGTCAACCAAACAGACATTCTTCTGAGCAGTGTCTCTATTTGATAGGATTTTACAGTAGTGATGTCATTCATGAGTGTCGATTTAAAACAAACTTTGTTAATGAACTCCTGATTTTAGAAGCAATACTAACGTCCTTCTTTTCCTTCTTACATATATCTTTCCTCCCTCCCTGAAACATCAGTGCATGTTCAGCTTCTTCACTATCATAATAAAACATTCAGTTTAGTTGAAACTGTCAATATTGAAGGATGTGTTGTTTGCAAGCATTATACATTTGGTAGTAGTAATATTTTATTCCACGAAAATATATAAAAATTGAGTATATTACTTTTTATAGAATTTCAGATGATTGAATTTCAGGACTATGCCCAATAAAACTTTTTTGGAGGTGTTTTATATTGAAATATGTGATGGATTCGGCCAATACTTAATAATAATCCATGACTTATTCAAAAATGCACCATATTTGTGAGATTTTCACTGAACAGTTTTATAAAATTTTCACAGTGGTTTCACAACTACTTTTTTTATTTGTAGCTGAATTATTAGGGACATAACATTGCCAGTATGAATTTTACCCGTTATGACTGAAGATTTCAACTGGTTAATTATTTTTGAGTAGTTAGAACAATTTTGGATATCACTTGACCTATATTTAAATTTTTTCAATATTGTTTGAACGGTTATCCTGAAATAAATGCCATTTTGTTATAATTATAGATCAGCTCTGTCAGATGACACCAAGAGCGAACAACCCACCAAAACCAACATTAAAAAAAAGAAAGGGAAGAAAGACCAACAAATTGATTCCGATGACTCTGGTGCCGAAACAACTATAACAAAAACGAAAAAGTCGTTTGCTGTTCTCCAAATTGATGATGAAGAATCTGAGCAAGAACAACCAGCAGATGAAGATAGTGATAGTGAGCCAAAACTGGCTAAAAAAGACAAAAAAAAATCTAGTGATGAAAATCGGACTACAAAAGAACTGGGGGGTAAGAAGGGTAAGAAAAATAGGAAAAGACGTGATGAAAGTGATGAAGATATTGAAAAAGTGTTGGCTGAGCTTGAATTAGAATATTCGGGAAATAAAAAAGAAGAGGAGCCACTATCAATTAAACATGAACAGGAAGCTGACGAGAAGGAAAAAAAATCCAAGAAGAAAAAAGAGAAAGAACCTTCAGTAGAACCTACTGTAGACGAGAAAGAATCAGAAGTAGTTGGCACTGTGAAAACTGCTGCTCAGAAAAAGAAAGAGAAAAAGGAAAGAGAGAAGCAAAAGAAACTTGCTTCAAAGAAACAAGAAGTGGCAAAACCAGAAACCGAAGAAGATACATCAAATAAAGAAACTTCTGGAGAGAAAGAAGAGGATACCGTAAAAATAGAGAAACCTTCAGAAGATAAGAATGAAGAGGTGGAAGACCAGGATGGGGACAAAAAAAGTAAAAAAAAGAAAAAGAAAGGTGCAAAAGATGAAGAAGATAAAGATGCTAAGGAAACAAAGAAAGGTATAATTGAATATTGAAACATGTATTCAGAGAGTTTTCTACTATGTAAATTTAAAATTACTTGCAGGTCCTGGCAAGAAGACAATAGCAGCTATGCAAGAAGCCCTCAAAAAGCTGAAAGAGGAAGAAGAGCGTCTGAAACGGGAAGAGGAGGAACGCATTCGTAAAGAGGAGGAAGCTGAGAAAGCTAGAGAAGAAGCAATGAGACTGGAACAGGAGCGTAAGGAGCGGAAAAAGCAGAAGGAGAAAGAGAGAAAAGAAAGACTAAAGGCTGAAGGAAAACTGTTGACAGCAAAGCAGAAGGCAGACCGAGCTAGGGCTCAAGCTATGATTGATAACTTGAAAGCTCAAGGAATGGAGTTGCCTGATGTTGGAGAGAGGAAACCGCGACTTGGTACCAGGGTGAGACCGTCTAAACAGAAGAAGGAGCCAGCACCAGGTGAGCATATAAATACTTTTTTCAATATACAGAATAAAATATACAATCAAATGAACATGTGTCATGTATCACAATATATGTCAGCGAAATAAACACATTAAAACTTATGGTCCATTATAAGCGTTTAATTTTTTTAAAGCACGATTATCTTTTCATGTTAGTTAGAAGTTCATTATGGAACTTGACTTCTTAACAACAGAGATATGGTGAATTCATGAAAATCGAAAGACATTGTATACATATGTTATAGAAATTTTAAATTTTATTTTTATTTATTTAACTAACGATAGTGCGAACTTCTCTCAGTTTGTTTTCAGTTAAAGGTATATTCAAATTATGAGCTAGATATCTTAGAAATTTGTTCCGAGTAATTTCTATTTTGTTTATATGGATTTCATATGTTGGCGACCACACACACGAGCAATACTCCAATATTGATCTAACCAAAGAATAATGAAGGGTTCTGATGGAATCAACTTTAGTGAATTCTCTTGTGGTCTGGCACACAAAGCCCAGCATTTGTGTCGCCCTATTCACAACCTGCTGATAGTGGAGATGTAAATCACACTTTGTGTCAAAAAGAACACCGTGGTCCTGAACAATGTTTGCCCTAGTGAGAAGTTTGCCATTAATGTTTAGTCTTTTTGGTCTTTTGGTCTTTTTAAAAAAAGTGTTTTCTATTAGACAGTAGAATAATCGTGTTTTGAATAAATTAAAACTGCTGATGTCATCAAGAAAATATGTAGCATGGTTGTAACAAATAATCCCTTGGTAAAGATGAGCATTTTGTGCTACTCCAAGTTTAAGGCATGAAAACGCAAGTGTAAATTTTGCTCTCTTATTGTTGTTATGAAACATATAATTCTTCTCAAAATGACTTATCCACGGTGGCTCCTTTTAATTGAAATGCATTATACAGAAGCGAATGATTTTCATCAAACTTGACAATATTACAGCTACAAAACAGGAAGAACCGGAAGAGGTAAAGCCTGAAGAAGCAAAAGTACCAGTTGAAGTTGTGGAGGAACCAAAAGAAGAGAAGAAAGAAGAACCAGAAGAGGAAGATGATGTCAAAGATGCTTGGGATGCTTCCTCTGAGGAAGAAGAAGAAGAATCTGAAGAATCACCTAAACCTATTGAAACCCTTGAAAACGCTAAGAAAAATGACGAAGAAGAAGATGAAGATAGTGTTTCAGAGGAGGAGGAAGAGTCTGATTCTGAAGAAGAAGATAGTGGATCAGCTTCAGAAGATGAAGATGATGGTAGAAGTCAGGCTGAGAAAGCTCGAGATAAGGCTTTGGAAAGAATAAGGGTAAAAATAAAAATGTTTTTTTTAACGTTTCAAATATTTTAATTATATCCAATAGTTATCATATTATTGTTTTTAAGTAAATACGTGAAGAAACATTGAGTTTGGTCTTTATTTTAAGGTAAGAAAAGAGCAGGCAGAAAAGAACAGAACTCCTGATGTTTTGAGAGCTGCCATAGTATGCGTACTGGGACATGTAGATACAGGCAAAACTAAAATATTAGATAAACTTCGAAGAACCAATGTACAAGATGGTGAAGCTGGAGGAATTACTCAACAAATTGGTGCTACAAATGTGCCAATTGATGCTATCAAAGAGCAAATCAAGATTGTTAAAGAGGTGAGTTCCTAATGTTCTGATACCAATATACCATGTAATGCTTCATGTTTTCTCTTCATCTGTTTGTTGAAGATTTGTTTTTGTTATCGCTTTCAGTAATATCTAATTATTATTTCAGGTGAATAACATGGAACTGAAAATACCAGGGCTACTCATCATCGATACACCAGGTCACGAATCTTTCTCGAATTTAAGAAATCGAGGTTCGTCTTTGTGTGACATTGCTATTCTAGTAGTCGATATTATGCATGGGTTGGAACCGCAAACCATTGAATCCATCAACATCTTGAAAAGTAAAAAGACTCCATTTATTGTGGCTCTCAACAAAATTGATCGACTTTATGATTGGCAGACGATGAACAGGAGAGATGTGAGAGATATCTTGAAAGCACAAGCACAGAATACTCATTTGGAGTTTGAGCAAAGGTCGAAGGAAATCATTGTTCAGTTTGCCGAACAAGGTAAATATCAATGTTTGTGGAGTGGTAGTAATTTTTGTTCTGGTGTAGAAAAACTGTTTACAATTATATAACATAATCTGTTCACATCTTTTCCCTATACCTCCCAATTTACCCTGCAATTAGTTGAGCTTATGAAGCAGGGTATGGTCTCTTGTTTAGAAACATATTTCCATATAATACTCGGAGTGACTGTTGTAAAATCATTTTGCTATTAAACAACAATTGTAAGGTTAAATCTTTCTATGTTTCTGAACGTACATTTATGAATGATCTAGAGTAAGTTCTTCACACTCTAAGAATACATAAAGTGTCATCTGATGTAAGTATAAGGAATTCTTTCTCATTGAACATGGATCAGTTTTGCAGGGACTTTTATCACATTGAATTCCAAACAAATGTGTTTGAACAAATATTCCATATTTAGAATGTTCATAATATAAGCTTGTTGAATATTTTTCATTGTAAGAGAAGAAGAAGTAGCAAGTTTAGAACTACATTTGAATGTATTTTTAACGGAAACATGGAAACCTCTTTGTTCTTACAGCTTACAATCTAACACCTCAAATTTTCAACTTTGTATCCCCTGATCTGAGAATATATCATTGTCCTTCTATCTACCAATATTATTATTGGTTAAAATTGGTTTTATGCTTTCTACGTCTCCATCATTGTACAAAAAATTGTGGGAAACTTCTGAAGGACAGAAGGAAGCAATTAAGTTCAAAATAAGCTCTTTACAAAGATTCCTTGAATAACTTTTTTTGAGATCAATTGCCCTAACACCAAACTGATATTTTTGCACTCGACGCGCGTTTCGCCAACAAAGTTAGCATCCTCAGGAGAAGAAAATTGATGTCTAGTCTGGTTAGTCCTTATATACTAAAATTTGTTACCTGAGATTGTATGCCTGAAGTTCAATATGGAACTTCTCGGTAATTAACTACCTGCAAGTTTTTAGTAATTATTCTTTTCCTAACAGAAGATTAAAAAGTGGGCTAAACGGGATGGGTCCCTTATCGCCATTCATGCTGTTTTTACATTTTGCTATTTCTAAACTCTCACATGCATCGAGTAGCCTGGTGTCATGCACATGCATAATCAGTTTCAGATTGTTTTCACCAATTCTGTGGTCCTTGTCTAGAGCATGTTGGGCGACACTGGATTTTTCTATCCTTCCATATTTCATGTGTGCACAATGCTCCTCGAAGCGGGTTTTAATCGCTCGTCGGCTCTGGCAGATGTATTTGCTGCTGCAATCTTGACAACTGATTTCGTAAATCCCCGACCTTTCTGTGTTTTCTAGTCTATCTTTTGGATTACCAAGAAGCTGTTGCAATTTATGAGAAGTTTTATATGCAACTTTCATATTTACTTTATCGAATATCTGTTGAAGCCCTCTCGTGTATTATTGGGGTTAACTTGTTATTACTCTCCTCTTTTTGAAAAGTCAACTTTTCAAAAAGAGGAGAGTAATAACAAGGTTATAGTAATCCCATATGAATACAGGTATACAACCTCAGGTAACAAATTTTAGTATACAAGGACTAACCAGACTAGACTAGTTATGAATTTTCTTCTCCTGAGGATGCTAACTTTGTTGGCGAAACGCGCGTCGAGTGCAAAAATATCGTTTGGTGTTAGGGCAATTGATCTCGAAAAAAAGTTATTCAACTTTCACACCAAAGGTTCATCGTTGAAGATTCCTGAATCGTAGTATTAATATGGCTTCTAGTATGTGTACAGAATTTGCAGAATGTCTCAGGAGTAGGCCATCCGTAACTAATATTATATTTATTGCTCGAAAATACATTTTTTGTTGTATTAAAACGTCTCAAGCCAATGATCTTGCATACAAGTTTTTAAAGATCTTCATATCTTGATCCTTATATTTATCTAAAAATTGCAAATAAATGTTTATGTATTCAAACACATATCAACTTTTAAAATTAATCAAATGTTCATCGCCTTGACACTAGAATAAAAAACAACATAAATGAGACTTCATATGCACCGGATTACATTGGAATAAAAATGTTTAATACACTTCTTGATCTGCTGAGGAAAGTAAGAGTAATCTACTGATATTTAAGAAATATTTTATTTAATGATTCAATTTATCGAACAAATTTTCATACATCCTAAAAAATTATGTGCAGTTTTTAGTGATAAGAGGTGGTTTACATTCATGTATTGACCATTCTCATACAGTTTTTATGTCAATCACAACTAATGCTACTAAAAAAAATATCAATCCCAAGTTAATTAATAGTATTGCACTAGAATGTTCTACCTTTATGTGTTCCTGATTTTTTCCCACAATAACTATGAACTGTTGTCTTTGAATGTCTGGTATAAAAATAGTCTTTTTTTAAAAGGATTTCGAACTAAAATTTATCGTCTTCTAGGTTTGAATGCCGCCCTATTCTATGAGAATCCAGACATCCGAAGCTATGTTTCTTTAGTACCCACCAGTGCAATAACGGGTGAAGGCATGGGCAACCTGCTTGCCCTCATAGTTGAGTACTGCCAAACCAAACTCACCAAGCGACTCATGTATTCCGATGAACTGCAGGCCACGGTGCTGGAAGTTAAGGCCATTCCTGGACTCGGAACAACTATCGATGTCATTTTGGTGAACGGTACTCTGAGAGAGGGTGACACGATGTTGTGTGCTGGGACTGAAGGTCCAATTGTGACGCAGATCAGATCATTGCTGATGCCCCAACCAATGAAGGAGTTGAGAGTTAAAGTAAGTATTTTTCAGGAGTTAATTGCTGAAGTATGACTGCTACAGCAAACCTGCAACTTCCTGTAAATTTTTTCACCTTGCTCTGCAAACTAGATCTCCTCAACTCCTACCATTTCTCCTTCAGAAGAAAATTCACGACCTTTTCTCCTAGACAGTTATTTCCAACATTCATTGTAGTAATTATTCTACCCTTCCCCAGTAAATAAATTATGATTACTCTTTGGCAGTCCCAAAAACTGAAGCAAGAACTTTTCTAGCATATTTTTCAAGCATATTTCTAGCATTTTTTTCTAGCATATGAAATTTTTCAGACCTTGTGGTTTCTCCGGCACTCCCCAACTTCTATCACCTCTTTGTCACAGTTGAGGAAAGGCATAATAGTCAAACCCTAAATGATGAATTGTTTGCGTGGCAACATGCGATTTATGTGCAAAAGCAAAATGTTTTTCTACAACACAACTTTGAGCTTCCTCTCTCTATATTTTTTCTCATAGAGTGGTCATTGATGTCAAATAGTCATTTCCAGTTATTGTACTGCTCTTTTCCAAAAAATCAATCATGATTACTCCTCAGCATTAACAAAAACTGAAGCATATACTCTTCCACCACATTTTTGAAAATGAAATTTCTTAGACCGTGAGGAATCTAAACTTCCAATTCAAAAGAAGTTTTGAATAATTGAGGAAAAGTCAAATTGTAATTTTTTTGTATCACTGATTTGATGTATATTACTTAATGTTTATATTTTTATTTCATCTGGTCATAGAAAAACTCATTATTACAGTTTATTGTATGATTTTCACCATAAAGGGTTTTACAAAAACCGTGACACGTGTTTCACTATACAATAGCTCTCTCAAGTGTAAAATATCATTTTAAGTTTGAAAAGCGTAAAATATTACAATTTTACGTTTGAGAAAACTATTGTATAGCGAAACACATGTCGCGGTTTTTGTCAAACCCTTTATAGCGAAAATCATACAATAAACTGTATCAATACATAAAATGTATTATGAATTTTCATCAAATATTGGCCAGTTCTATTTAGATATAGAAAAACGTTCATTTTCATTTATTCCTTCCTGAAAATAGAGGAAATTCTACAATTTAGTCATTTTTCAAATTGTCAAAGGTTCAATTATTTGAGTATGACAAAATATGCCAATCAAGCCTTTTAGATTCTGGAAGGTACATTTTTTGAATGACAAAAAAGGAGACTTTCTTATTTTTTCGATTTTCGATTTTTTTCGGTACATATATAATGTCAACAGTGCATTCAAAACCAATAAACAAGCAAGCTCCTTGTGATAATGCAATTCATTTTCAAAAATAATTTTGATGTAGTTTGTTAAAAGAGATACAATCTCTAAGAAATCAAATTTTTTGTATGGAAAAAAATGGAAATGGTAAGTGAATTAAAGTTGTAGTATACAACATTAAAAAGGATGTATCACTTCACTTGTATTTATTACAAATAGTGAGTTCTTAAATTAATCAAATTATTTACTTCAACTGGCTGTATCTCTGAAAGTATAACAGAGCACCACATATGTGTAAACTCAATTTTGCTCTGATACCAGTCTTTTGCATGTCCTGAAAGCTTGGCTACCAACAACAGCTGAATCTGCTGCCACCTGGTACAAAGTTTAAATTGAAACTACTGGTCTACCAAAATATTTACATTCTGTTGTCTAACAGTCCTGAAAAACTCGGCCAATAAGACAGGCAATTCACTGTTCGATACTTGGTTACTGAAAGTTCTTGCTTCTGGTGGCTGAGTTTCATTAGTCTTTGCATCCTTGTATACCATAATAGCTCTCCAGTTATTTGAACTAAATCTTCCATTGTGATTTAAGTATGCACAAGCTTCTAATTCTTTTATTTTTCCATTTTTTAGCAGTCATGCTTTATTTTTAAAGTAATCTGGATCAAATTCAGATAATCCTTCTCCTGAGATTATAATCTTTGGATGGGGCTTGGGACGATGGTCACATCATTTCAGCAAACGACTCCATAGTAACCTAATCTTACTTTTCTAACCTTAAACGTCTTCAGGGGTCACAAGATTGTGACGCCTGAAGATGCTATTGTATCGCGAAACATGTGTCGCGGTTTTGTAAACTGTCAAGTGGAAATCTCATATCAAAGACTATATTTTGATATGGCTCTTTCGTCAGTAATCTCAAAACTTCTCAGTTTAGTAAATTATTTATTCAATTCATGGGACTAATATTCAATAAAAAGAATCCTCCACTGTTTTGAATCTAGAAATATAAGTTAATTCTCAAATATTTCATTTCAGAATGCTTACATAGAATATAGAGAGATCAAAGCAGCCCAGGGTGTGAAGATTGCTGCCAAAGAATTAGAAAAGGCTATAGCAGGTCTCAATCTATATATCGCCAACAAGCCAGATGAAGTTGAAATCCTCAAGGAAGAGGTGTCTAGGTATGTCTTCAGTTTTGTTCCGAGTAATATTTAAGTAATGCCCCAACTTTTTTCAGGGAACTTAAATCAGCCCTGTCAAATATAAAACTTGCAGAAAGAGGTGTGTATGTTCAAGCTTCCACACTCGGATCATTGGAGGCTTTGTTGGAGTTTTTGAGAACAAGCAAAATTCCGGTAAGTTTTTTCTGAGCTGAACCGGCAAACGTTTTGCCACATAAATTATTAAAAAGATTTGGAAAAGCTGAATACATTTATTTGAATTAATGAATCGAAGAGGTTTTTTGTATTAAAGTGTATAATTTTTTTACACACTTTAATACAAAAAACCTCTTCGATTCATTAACATAAATTATTTCTATCAGAACAATAACTAATATTAAATCTCTAATGCTATAGTGTTACAATATTTTTGTTAGTCTATGTTTAGCTAAAAAAAACAAACTGGATGGTTTGTCCACTTGAGAGCATGTCACGTATAATTGTACGTGTGAAAAACATAGTGTGCTCAAATCTAAGTCACAAACGGACATTGTTTGACCTTAGGACTTTTTGATAGTCATTACAAATGCCAATCCAATTGGAAATGGCACACGTTTAAAATGAATTGGCACATTTGTATGTATAATAAGGATTCGCCATTTGAAATGCTGGATTCGACAATGTTCTTCAATAATTTTTTAATGACTAATCGAGTGCCGTTGCACAGCCGTGGTGGGTTCAAATTACAGAGCAACCAAACTTTCAGTTGTAAATCATGTGGAAGCATGTCTGGCAAATCCAGTGAGCTCAAAAACTATTGAATTATTCACAACTTTGGTAGCATCGTAAACTGTATTTACGCCCGATGAATGAATAGTAATGGTGGCCGAAAACTGTGTAGGATCACTTTGGGGTGAAACACACTTTTCACTTTGGAGTATGAAAAATAGATTGAAACCTATTCTCAGATCTACCGAATATACATAAAGTATTTCTTGAAAATCGTTTGAGCCGTTTCCGAGGAGAATGGCAACTAACACTGTGGCTATCTTTTTAAATTATTTCATCATAATCTGGGTGATTCAGATGACCATAGCCAACCGAAGATATAATTTTTTGAATGAAATATTCAGTGTACAAGTACACCATTCAGATACATATTTCTTCAAGCTTTCTGAAGATTTTAATTGGCTTTGAAAAGTTAATTCAGGAAGAACCCTTTTTTGCAGAATTTTTCTCGAATCAACTCCCACATATTTAGAGCGATAGAAATTATTATTTTGCGGAAAAACAATCCCGACTATTATACGGAATTTTGTTATGAGTTTCCTGTTATATACATAACATATAATATTGAATGTATAAAAATGCTGTATTTCACCCTGGTAAGATCAGTATTAGATTATTGCAGTTCCATATGGTCACCCACCTATGAAAGTCCTGCACTTAACATTGAACGGGTACAAAACAAATTCCTTGAATTTTTGGCGTTCAAATCAAAAATGCCCTTGAAGGACCATTCATTAGATGATATTCGTAGGGTGGCAGATATAATGAAGCTAAGTAGTCGTAGAGTGGAAAGTGACTCAAAATTCTTATTCCAATTATTAAATTCTCTTATTAACTGCCCTGCATTGCTAGCACAAATTGGCTTACATGTTCCTTCTAGAAGTACAAAGAATACAGAAACATTTGCAATAGATTTTCATCGTTGTAACTACGGTAAACATTCTCCCCTGTCTAGAGTTGCTATTGGTGGAAATAAAAGCGATCTGGACTTATTTTCATTGAACGAAATGGTGGTAAATATAAACATAAACATCCTCAATTATTGAATTTTCCTTATCTTAATCATTTATTAATTTAATTAATATTTCAATTCAGTAAATTTATTTTCTAACTGTTATTTTTTTCATCAATAAATTAGTTTTACTTTTAGCAAGTAAGTTGGATATAATTATTTGTTGTATTCATATAATTTATTGTGAAAGCCTTAAACTTAATTGGGTGTTACCCGTTGATAAATAAATAAATAAATAAATACAGAAACAAAATTCCCTGTCATAATGACATCCATAATTACGCAACAAGATTCAGTCATCATCTTTTCACACCCCAAAATCAGTTAAATATATGCCTGTATGGCCCTATTCCCAATGGAATTAGGGTTTACAACCACCTATTGATAAAAATCGATCAGGAGGTATCTTACTTCAGATTCAGAAAAACGCTGAAAACATACTTACTGGATAACTCGTATTATACTATGGACGAGTTCTTATCTTCGTAGTGAACTCTCTTTGCTCCCTATAGCATTTTAAAGTACATGTATTGTTTGCCTAATCTATGTTCAAATTTCTTTTGACTTGTTTTATACCTTTTAGGTCTTTGAAACCAATAAAGATTATTATTATTATTATTGAGCGTTTTTTTTTGGAAATAATCAGAATCACTATGACTTCCTAGTATATTTAGTTTTGTAAACGATATATAGGACGCCAAAGAAATGGACATGCGTCATTAACAAAATCCTAATAAAATGAATACTTTCATCTAGCATTCTCTTCTTTTACAAGTGAAAAAGGAAGATGAGTCATTTGAGGTTTGCACTTGATTAGGGAGAGCTCTTGTATGGTTAATAGCGTAATAATAGTAATAATAATAATTTTTATTATCCTGTAAGGCAATCAAAAGGGTACATTGTGTAGGATTAGTCAGAAAAGAGTTTAGAAGTAAAACTAAAAATAAGACAATTTACTAAGAGTAATACATTCATTGAATTTTTCATTTTATTATTCAATCATTTCCTGAAGGGAGTAATAGATTTTCTCTAGGAAACACTTAAGTCTAATTTTGAAGCTGTGGATAGTACTAGAGTTTTTCAGTTCAAGTGGTAGCAGATTAAATAATCTGAGCCCTATTACATTGGAGGAATTGTAAGTCAGTACATTTTTACAATATGGCATATGAAAGTCTGTCTTGCACCTGATAGGTATTAATAGATTGCACATTTTCATTTTTTATGAAACAGTTACGGTTATCATATATAAAAATTCATAATTCGAATATATACAGGCATGATAATGTTAGTATTTCAAAATTTAAAAAAATGCTTTTACAGCTTGTATTTTTTGAGACTCCTGCTATACATTTTATAATCTTTTTCTGGGCGACAAAAAAATCTTTGCATAAAGAGGAAGCTCCCCAGAAAGTAATACCAAACCGAAGACGCGATTCAACTTGAGCATGATACAGCATAATCTGCACTCTATAGCGAAGAGACATGGTTAAGAAACGTTTTCCTACGATTTCAATTTTTTTATACTCCAAGAATAGTTATTTTCACAACTAATGAATCACCAGAAATGCAATAATCTTTTCTACAGTTGTGAAAAGCGCGTCAAGGAGACTATTGCATTTCTGGTGAATGGGAAGAATGCTCATTTTGAAATTATAATCACTTCCTGAATGGTAGAACGTTCACGGAGAAGAATTTAATTTATTATCACCGATTGTACGTAGACTTTTATATGCACCAACAGTAAAGAATTATTCAGTAGCACGCATGTAATTTAACTACCTCTGCGTAACAAGTTAGACCTCGAAAAGACGGCAAAATTACTTTCTATTGGGTACAATGCTTCAATATTTAATTTCAATCATTAATATTTAATGAAAGTGAAGAATTATCATCTTATTATTTTATTTCGCCCCCCGTAATCTGTGTGAATGCACATCGTTCAAAAGGTACTGAACCCAATTTATTTTGTGTCGCACATTGTAACCAACTAGTGGGGACAATGTACAAAAATTATCAACCGCTAGTGATTTTCAAATAAACATTTTTCATCAATTGATTCCAACTCAAAACAAGGTAACAATACTATAATAATGTATACTTTACAGCTATAATAATATCAATAATATATTCTGTTGTTTGATTAAGTAATTTCTGCAAATATATTGCAGCATGATTATTTATCAAACATATCCATATTGTCGGGTAATCGTTGGTTTCGAATTTTTCTAAGATTATAATCATTAGGAAAACTATTTGGATGAATGCAATTTACAGTTGAAAGCAAAAAATTATATATTCTAAAAGTAAGACCTAAATCTAAGTATAAAACTAACGCTTGAATAAGAGGTAAAGAGGGTTGATTTTTTGAGGTGCTGATCATAAATTAGCAGTGAAAGATAGCTCCTCAGAACTCCGGTTTTATACATGATCAGTAACCCCACTCTTTGTCGATTCTTCACACAACACAACTATTTCTTATGCCTGCCGGAAGAACCATCAGGACGTGAAATGCTCTTTTCTTGATAATAATTGAAAACGATTTCTCCTAAATTGATATCTTGTTGCAACCAGTCTTTACATAAGGTCAAGAGTGGTTTTTCTGTGCGATGAACACGCTCCCACTTTTTTGACATATTAAATGACAGTAAACTGGCAGTCTTTCTAATACTGCTCAATATTTTTTCAGGAGCGTCGTGCAGATCATATTGACTCAGTATTTGCTCAAAGATTGATTCTGTTTTGTGGAGTTCATCCAAAAAAACGGGAATTTCCTCATATCTTTTTTATTTCTCAATATTTCAACACCAAATTTTGATCACCTTCAAAGTATTCGCCATTGACCACAACGCACTTCTACAAACGATTCTTCCATTGTTCAAAACAGTATTCAAATTCACTCATCGGGATGTCCTTTAAGCCTTCTAGCGATTTTTAATTCACTTCTTCCACAATGGCAAAACGCTTTCCTTTCATATTCCTTTTGAGTCTAGGGAACGAAAAGAAGTCACAGGGGGCTAGCCAAAACTACTTAAAAACTGTAACGCCAGGTCAGCTATTGCTGGAAATTTTGCTTTTGGTACCGATTTCCAGAAATCTGCAAAATTTTATGAAGAATTTTGTGCTTTCGAAGGCAATTTATTGGCAAAAATGTTTTTTGACATATCGTGATTTTGCAGTTCAACGAGTTCCAACTGAATATTTCCAGGATTTATAAAAATTTGTATAGTTTGTTTTTTGCTTTCAAAGGCTTAAAATCTCTTCTCAAACGACTGCGATAATCATCGAATTTTAGATTGGTCTTTAAAATAATTAACAGAATCAATATTGAACTCCTTTTTCAAATGTTTTAATGTGGGAAAAAGGTCAATATTTTCTGTAGCCAAATTAATTGAAA